CCCCTGCGGGCGGCGGCTGTCGGACCGACCGAGGCCGCGCTCGCCGGCGGCCTGCGCCTCCCCTTTCCGGCTGGGTGTCGCTGCCTCGGGAGGAGGAGCCGGAAGAAGCCGGTGTGCGGGCAGCTCTGCGCGAGAGCGGGACCCGGCTGCTAGAGGGTGCTCGCTTTCTCCTGCGCGGTCTGTTCGAACTTAGTAGCTGAGTTATTGCAGGAATTGCTCATCTTCTTTTTGAAGTTCAAGGAAAGCGGTGTGACTAAAACCAGATTTGGCAAAGAACGAGCTGTTCTGACCTAGCTCTGACCTTGCAAATTAAGAACTGCCAGTTGAAAGCTGGTTAAAATTGTGTCTGCTCCTTTCAGCCTGTAGAAAATGGTGAAAGAAACCACTTACTACGATGTTTTGGGGGTGAAGCCCAATGCCACCCAAGAAGAACTGAAAAAGGCTTATAGGAAACTGGCTTTGAAGTACCACCCTGATAAGAATCCAAATGAAGGAGAAAAGGCAAGTACCATACGGTACTCTCACCTGACTCTTCGCCCTGGCTCTAGTGTTTGTGTTGTTAGTGCCTGAAATGGGCTGAGTCTGACACAGCGGCTATGCTTTGTAACACCCTCTTTTAAAAATGAAACTTACTGTCCTTTGCTCAAACAGTTTAAACAGATTTCTCAAGCTTACGAAGTTCTCTCAGATGCCAAAAAAAGGGAATTATATGACAAAGGCGGAGAACAGGCGATTAAGGAAGGAGGAGCAGGTGGTGGTTTTGGCTCCCCCATGGATATCTTTGATATGTTTTTTGGAGGAGGAGGAAGGATGCAGAGAGAAAGGAGAGGTAAGAAAATCTAGTCTGTATGCAACAAAAGTAGCTGTTGGTCAGAAAAATTTTTGAGAGTTCGCATATTGTTTGCATGTTAGTATAACGCTGCAAGTTGATGATAAACTGTCTTTCAGGTAGTTTTTAAATGAGATTTTGATGTGACTAAAAATTGCTAACCAATGAAGTGGTGACACGAGATACTCGAAAGCCTTTGGGTATCATTTTCATACATTAACTTAGGGAACAAAGCATAGTAACAATTTTCAGAGCCTGGAAGGGTTCTGGGATCAAATCCAGATGCTGTGTGATTCCCCTACCGTGGAAGCCCAGTGGTACCTTACAGGGGCCTTTTTCAAAGGTCAACTAAAGTTGAGAAACCTAAAAATTCTGAAGTTCATATAGCAACCAGCAGTAGAGTGAGGGCTGAAAACAGGCTCATTGCTTCCAAATACTGACTGTTTGATCTTGCTTTCGCGTATATTCTTGAACTATATGCACGAAATGTTTAGCAGGAAAGTGGCCTGCAGGCTATACAAATAATTGTCCATAGGATACAGGGGTTTTTTCTTTGTTTTTGTGGAGGAATAAGGCCCAGGGATTGAACCCAGAGCCTTTGCTATGAGCTGAACTAGAACTTAGTTCCTCTGCCTCAGGGGTGGGTTCCCAGAGCGCTGAGATTATAGACTTTTGTTATCACACCTTGCTCTAAGCGGTTCTTTTTAAAAAGATTGTCAAGGGAGGGTTATGTTTTCATTTTAAAGAATTTACTAAAAAGTCAGCAATCCAATCACTTCCTTAGTAAATCATTGGGGTGGTTTGTCGTACAGAAAAATAGTTGTGATGTTTTCCAAATAGAGAATTGATATGGTTCCATGTGGCTTAGATGGGTGAGAGGTCATTTTCAAATAAAGAATTGATATGGTTCCATGTGGCTCAGATGGGTGAGAGGTCATTTTTTGGGAAATGTTTGTTGAAACTCCAGTAGTTTATTTTTCCTTACCTCTACTCTTAATAAACTTTAATAGACTGTGATACAGTACCCAGAAATGGAGCTAGGAACAAGAGGCTGTAGTTAATGCTGCTTTACATTCACTTACAAAGTAAAGAATGTTCATTAGGCAGGTTGTGTATAAAAGAATTTGAGAACCCTATTTCATTTAAGGCTAAGGTGTTATTGTTCGGTGGATGATGGATAAAGTCCTTGTGGAAGGGACATTAGTTAGGAACTGATTAACCATTGGTGAGTTGACTTTGTATTCTCACTGTCCTTATGTGATCCCAGCCTTTACTTCCTGAAGTGATACTGTATATGGCGTGCCTTTGTAGCTGCTGACCTTTTGTGGATCTTCAGGTTAATTTAGAGCAAAAAGAAAAAAATTATTTGGTTGTAGTAGCTAGCAGTTAAAATTTGACTACTGGCTGCTTTACTGCAGGGATTGAACCCTTTACGAATAAAACATTTCCACCACTGCAAAAAGTTCAACCAGGCATACACATGAAAAGTTTCTCCTTTAAAACAACCTGTGTGCAGCGCCTGCCTGGCAAGCCCAAGGTCATGAGTTTGATTCCTGGTACCAGAAAAAAACGGGTAAATATATATATGAAACAACCGGTGTGGGCCGGGGATATAGCTCAGTGGCACAGAGCCTGCCTGGCAGGTGCGAGGTCCCAAGTTCAGTTCCTGGTACCAAAAAATAAATAAAACAACCAGTGCTTGGTAGCAGTAAATAAATGTGCTGTGCCTGCTAAATCAGGAAGAAGCACAAATTGGTAATTTCAGTGGTGTCTCAATATTGGCTTCTCTAGCCAGTCGTGATTAGTAGGAATTTACTGTGCTAAAGAACTTTGGGATGAAGTAATTGACCATATTGCTCAATGTCATACTAAATGAAGGCTTCAAAGAACATAATCGGACAGAAATGCATGTTTGGATTATTTATTGTGAAATCTGCATAAACAAGTGGTTTTGGAGATAACATTTTTGATTGTCATATTTCCAAGCTGGCCATGTATATCCTTAGACACATTGCTTAATCTGTAGGTTAGTTTCCTTCATTTGTAATTACATTATAGTTTGAGGATCCTGTCATAATGTGAACATTCTGTATGAGTAGCTGTTTAACAGATGTGCTCTGTGGGACTCACCTTTATTCTTTACCAATACAAATCAAAGTTTTTTAGATTTTTAATGAGTATTATTTTGTTGTAGGTAAAAATGTGGTGCATCAGCTCTCAGTTACCTTAGAAGATTTATATAATGGTGCCACAAGGAAACTGGCTCTGCAGAAGAATGTGATTTGTGACAAATGTGAAGGTAAAGTGTTTTCACATCTCTTACATAACTTGATAATGGAGCTGCAGGCTTTCTGCATAGATAAGGTTGACAGATACGTATATGTTTTAAATGCAGTTGGTCGGGATCAAACTAATTTTTTAGTAAATTATTTGTTGTAAATATGTCTTTTAAAAGAGTAAACTCAGGGCAGGGGTGTAGCTCAGCTGCACAGCGCCTGCCTGGCAAGCGCAAGGTCCTGAGTTCAATTCCTGGTACAAAAACATAAGTGAATAAACTCATTAAAATAATCTTTTACAGATGAAGTAGTTCTGAGAATTGGGCTGTAGGAGCACATATGTGAAATTGAAGATTCTAAAGCCGGGCGTGGTGGCACACGCCTAGAATCCCAGCACTCGGGAGGCTGGGGAGGCTGAGGCAGGAGTATCAATATTGCTGAGTTCGAGGACAGCCTGGGCTACATAGTGAGTTCAAGGCCAGTCTGCACTATATAGCAGGACCCTGTCTGGAAAAAAAAAAAAAAATTTTGGGATTCTAAAATTACTGCTTTATCAAATGAAGTCTTGAGTTGTACATTCTTAGTGCATCATTCCCTGAGATTTTAGAAATATTAAGAGAGTATAATTAGGAACTGTCTTCTCATACATTTGTTACTGTATTCTTACTAATTTGGTACATAATTTTCAACTGTTTAGGCCGAGGTGGTAAGAAAGGAGCTGTGGAGTGCTGTCCCAACTGCCGAGGTACTGGAATGCAGATAAGAATTCATCAGATAGGACCTGGAATGGTTCAGCAAATTCAGTCTGTGTGCATGGAGTGCCAGGGCCATGGGGAACGCATCAGCCCTAAAGACAGATGTAAAAGCTGCAACGGAAGGAAGATAGTTAGAGAGAAGAAGATTCTGGAAGTTCATATTGACAAAGGTGAGTTTTGATCCATTTCTCAGTCTGTAGTCACATGACGAGTTCATTAATACTGCTTTTTAAAATACCCTGAATCTCCTCCCTTAACGTAAGTGAACCATCTTTCAGGCGTAAGTGGGCCCTATAGATGAACTAGATGAAGGTACTGGGCGGGATGGGAAGTCTGGATGCAGAATGAGCTCATTAAAATTTTATGTTTTCAACTGATGAATATGGCTGGGTGGTTGTGTGTTGCTTTTTGACAGAGGTTTTACTGTGTAGTTCAGGCTGGCCTTAAACTCACAGCAATCCTCCTGCCTCAGCCTCTTGAGTGCTGTGATTACAGCTGTATGCCACCACACTTGCTTTAAACATGTTTAAATGTGCTTAGTACATGTCTTCTGTCCATCTTTGACCAGACAGTCTTTGAGCCCGTGTGATCCTCCTGCCTTGGCCTCCAGAGTGGCTGAGATTGCATACAGGTGTCAGGTGTGCATCACCCTCCTGCCTGGTGTTTTGGGAGGGTGTTGTCACCTGCCCCCCAGCCCCCCACCCATTTGTTTGAGACAAAGTCTCCTCCTGTTGCCCTGGCTGTCCTTGAACCCCTGGGCTCAAACCATCCCCTGCCTCAGCCTTCTGAGTAGCTGGGGCCTAGAGGAGTATGCCCAATGAAATGTTCTAATTGTTTTCTAAGAACTTAAATTGCTTGTACTTATTTTTCTTTTTAAATTTAGTTACAGACTTGTCAGTTTCTACGTTTGCTCCAGGTTAACTTTTCATGTTGTTTGGATTAGATTTCTTTCTCTTAGTTTTGCCAATTTGTAAGTTTTTAAAATGTATTATGGCAGTGCATGTTCTTTGTAGAAATTCATGTAACCCTAGAAAAAAGTGAAAATGTAAAACAATGAGCTTGATAATTACCTTTTAGCTGATGCTGTTTTTTAAACAAAATGTATTAATGACACTGTATCTATGGTCTAGAACTGTTAGTATTATTAATACTTTTCCGTATTAATACCTACGTCTACGTTATGTGGCTACATTAGTGAAGTTGACCCTCCTTTTCCATGGGTTCCACATCTGCAGGTTCAGCCAATTGCCAGTTAAAAATGTTGGGGAATTGTGTCTGTATGAAACTTAGAGATTTCGTTCTGTAATCGGGAGATTCTGATGTTTGGGGCAGATCCTGAGCCAATCCCCTGACTATACAGAGGAATTGACTACTCTACCTTGTGAATCATACCAATGCCATATAAAGGAAAAAAATAACGAAATTTCTTAGCTAGTTTTATTTTTACAAATCTTTATTTTTTTTCCTTAATTGGAATATGATAAGCAAGGTTTGTGTTTTTAGTCTTCCTAAGACATCCCCTCTTGCTGACAACAGCATATAGTTAGGATGTTGAGTGCAAATGAAGCTGTTTATGCGTGGCTCTTTGTAGGAATAAGGAACAGTCATGAACGCCTGGCTGAGTTTTAATTACTACTCTGCTCCTGGGACAAGGTAGTTACTTGGCCTCACACAATTTGAACACGATTACATTTAATCATTGTATGATACTGACTGGTGTTATGGTTTTAAGTACATATTGAAGTACTGCATTCGTGGATATGGTTGAGTTTTCCTTAAATAGTTGGTAGGGGGATGGAGTTGTAATAAAATATTAATCAGCCGGGCATGGTGGCACACGCCTATAATCCAAGTATTTATTAATCATGAGTTAACCACCAACCCTGGATTGATGGATATAGGAATTCATTATAAGGGCTAGGGAAAGCAGAGCTCAGTGGTAGAGCTCTTGCCTAGCATGTGCAAGGCCTGCATTTGGTCCCCAGTACTGGCCCCAAAAAGCAACAACTTTGTTTGCACTGTTAACTTGTATTACTGTGTGTTTAATGTTTTCCATTCTAAAAAGTGAAACAAAATAGCTTGGATCACCTGATGGCAGTGATCATTGATCCAGGAAATAATCAGAAGAAATAACAGCTGTTCTAATTTGTAAACACAGGTATTCTTACATAAGTTACATTTAATGAGATGTTGCTCAATCCCTTACTGAAACAAAGTACGTGAAGCAGATTTTTTTTCTCTTTTTT